CCTGACCTAGGGAGGATTTTATTTGGGGTTTATCTTTTAACAATTCGACAGAGACACAACTTTAAAATTTGATTTAATTCGGTTTTATCGGGGGGGAATGTATTTATGTTTTGTTTTAAATATGTTGTGCGCCGCCCTGAGTCCCGTTGGGAGAAGGGCGGCATATAAATTAAATTTATTATTATTATTATTATTATACAACTTTGTATGTTAACATTTTTATTACCCTGCCTATATCTGGCAGCCTTAACATTTTAAATCATTTTTCTTTTCATATATTTTTTTCTCAGATGTCAACAAATACACTGTAATTCCCATTAAACTCCCTAAACTACCACTTCTAACATTTCCTCAACTTTATTTTCATCCCAAATTTTATCCCTTTTATTAAAGAGGCACAGTGGCTCAGTGACTTAATGACCCTGCAGATGGTCTCTACTCCAGTGGTTAGGGTCCTAGCATTGTGTGGCGGGGTGAGCTCCCATCACTTGCCTCAGCTTCTGTCCACCTAACAATTTGAAAGTATGTTCTATGCAAGTAGATAAATAGGAGCCACTTTGGTGGAGAGACAAGCTGATGCTCCATGCAGGCAGGCAGATTCCTGCTGGCTCTGAATCTTCCAGTTGTTGCGCCCATTTGCGAGGCAGCTCCAGGGAAGGAGAGGGGCTTGGTTGACCCCGTAGGAAGAGCCACTCTCATCTTTCTTTCTGGTGCAAAATCAGCTTACCCTCTGTGGCACACCTTGGGAAGCTCGCAAGCATTTCCTACAAGAGAGCTGGTAATTTGGCAGCCAAACTATTACATTAGCTAGGTCAGGAGACCACAATAACATGTGGTCTCCTAGCTAATAATAATAATCCCTTTTATTTTTAATTCCTTTCATTCGGAGAGAGGTTCCTTTTTTAGCTCCTGGAACAATTTATTTTTTTTCATCAAATTTTCTTTCTGCTTATTTTAACCTTACCTGTTCCTGGCTTTCTTTGAGTAGATTAGTTGCTAATACATTTTTTTCTTTTAAAAAATGCCCTTTATCCTTATTTTTTATAGCATTCTCTTCTTTTTCCTCATCCACAACTTTTTTTTTACTAAGCATTCTTTCTTATACTTCCACACACATGTATGGCATTCAAAATAATTCTTTCAAAGCAACTTCCACATCCTCCTTTCTTTTATATCCACTTTTCACACATTCTGTTAGGAGATTTATATATCTTCTAATGCTGTTGGACAAAGGATTCAAACTTTCTCTTCCTGTAGTCATTCTTCTTTCACTCTGGGGTCTTTTTTTCCTTCCCATACTTACCCCCCCCCCGGCCCCAAGATGCATGTTTCAAACTGCCAAATTATGGTCTGTTCAAAATTCAGAACTTTTCTTCAATCTTTCATTATGAAAGATCAAATCAGCCTTTCTTATTATTATTCTTTTTCATGAACAAACCTAACATCATCCTCTATGTTCATTATTGGATCTCTGGACAGCCCAATCACTTTTTCCTCTACTCTTTCACCTTATTCCATGACATCCATTCATATCCATTAGTCATAATTTTTTTCTTCTGGATCATATTCATTCAGAAAGTTGCAGTTTTTACCAAAACTAATCCCAGTTCTTCCATTGTCATTATTTGCAATATATGTACTTTCCATCAACTTATGGCTTCCTATTTTCATAGAGAGCTATAACTAGATGATACCAATTCATATTCTCTTATGTCTATTTCAACCGTTTTGTTCTTAAGTCTAACCTTCCTTACATTTGTTTCAATTCTACTAATTCACATCAATTATATTCTCCATCTTTCTGTTGGTTTCTCAAACAACACACCTATTTTTCTTTCACTTTATTTGTTAATTTGTACTCATCACTCTTTACTCCTCTTCCATTACAAAACTATGTTTTAAAATAGTTTCATGAATCTGCACTTACTGTGAATATCCGTCTGCCAGTCCGATCAAATGTTACACAATATACCGAAGACAAATGTCCCAGGATTCGCTTATGCATTTTCATATGCTGATACACAGCAGTTGGAATAAGATGTTCCAGTCTGTATTTTCCATTAAGCTTTCTTGAAAAGAGAGTTTCAGCTATAAAAAAATTGATATATTTAGATATATGTTCAGAAAGATATCTCTTAAGCAATATCAAGAAAGATTTAAGCCGTTATTCATATACATAATTCATGTAATTAAAATATATTTGTATTATGTCAGAATATAACAAATACATAGGTACATACTGTGTTTTCCCCAAAATAAGACCCAGTCATATTTTGTCTCAAAAAGAGGCACTAGGTCTTATTTTCGGGAGATGTCCTACCATAGGAACACTGCAACCAGGCCTCCCACGCCCCGAAACCTGTCGCGCCGCTGCCTGACTTCTTCAGCGGCTGCTTGCCACCATTTGTAGCTGGATGCCATGTGGCACATTGCGCCAGCGCCAACGGTTGTAGCAGGAGGCTGCATAGTGCTTCATGCTGGTGCCGCCAGTCGCAGGAGGAGGCTGCGCGGCACTTCGGGCCATTTGCAGGAGGCTGCATGGTGCTTTGGGTCGTTGCCACCGTTCGCGGCAGGAGGCTACGCGGCATTTTGGGCCATTTGCAGAAGGCCACATGGTGCTTTGGGCCATCATCGCCAGTCACAGGATGCCACACAGTGGCCTGCTGCGACCACTGGCAACGGCCCGAAGCACCTTGCAGCCTCCAGCAAATGGCCTGAAGCACCACACGGCGTTCTGCCGCGAGTAGAGGCAATGGCCCAAAGCACCATGTGGCCTCCTGCCGTGAGGAGCAATGGCCTGAAGCGCTGCAAGGAGTCCTGCCATGATGAGTGGCAATGGCCCGAAGTGCTGCATGGCATCCTGCCATGAGGAGCGGCAAAGGCCCAAAGCACTGCACGGAGTCCTGCCGCAACCGGCGGCCATGGCCCAAAGCACCATACAGCCTCCTGCCACGAGGAGCTGCAACGGCACAAAGAACCACACAGCATGACAAGTTTCAGGGCATGGGAGGCCTGCCTGCTGCAGTCCTATCAGTAAGGTAAGCAGGTGCAGTGTGCGTGGGGTAGCTCCACCACCTTCCAGCTCAATTTTTAGACATGCGCCTCGCCCCAAATCTAGGGCTTATTTTCGGGGTAGGGCTTATTTTCGGGAAAACACAGTACCACTTCATAGGTCTCAAAAATAATGGAAACAAACAGAAAAGTTATTGCACTTTGAAAAAATCATACACATCTGACCAATATATTTCCCTTAGAGTAAAAGATCCTCAGTTATTAGCAGCCCAATTAGAATCGTAACTTAAGGGCTACCTATATGGCACTTTGATTTGTTAAGGATTTAGTGATTATTACCACTACTCCTACTACTTATGATGCCATTCTAATTACTATAACTGATTGTTTTAAAGACTTGGTCAATGGAGATAAAAATGTTTTTTAATTATATACTTGCATGCAATGTACAACCAAACCTCCTTGTTTAATAAACAAGCACATGTGAGCTATTCAGCCCTACCTTAAGCATCCCTGATTAAAGCACCAAAAAGCAATGTTTTATATTACATCTAAGCTCTGTACTGAGATCATAATCTAATTTTTCTGATGCCTTGTGTAATTTTGCTTCTTTCAACATATTTAACATAATCCTGGGATAAAACAAATGAAGCTATTTCCTCCTGCTTTTTTAATTACTAATGCAAAGTTAGAAACAAATATCAAATACTGCCATCTGCTAGTTCATATTATATTTTAAATCATGAATCCCAAGTTACTTTATAGTGATATATTACTACAGTTTCTTCTACATGATCAATGATATTTATATCAACAATAGTGCATAATTAATAGCAAATCAAAATATTTTATTTATTATATAAGCTTTAATGTCACTCAATTTATTCTGGATTCTGTTGTCAGCAGCAAAGCATCATAATCCTATCTTGTTGATACCTTATCAGGACAAACAGCAAAATCAAACATTTTTTATTTACCAAATAAAAACTACCAAAACCTGAAAAATCAAGCATTTCATGGTTTTAAGCAAGGAATAGCTATTTGAAGACAATCTATTCTGATAATTTCATGAAAGTTATTCTCTAAAATGGTTGCGGTCATTTATTATTTTGTTTCTTCAGTAGAAATAAGCAGCATGTCTTTGACATATCCCATTTGCAAATGATCTTTTACATTTCCACTTTTCCAAACAGCAGCATCACAATTAACAATTAGCATATTTGATTTCATAACCATAATGTATTCTGTACACATTCCATACCGGCATACAATATAAGCTGTTGCTATGTGTTATAAAAAAAGCCAACGCATTGTAGGCTGCATTAACAGAGGGATAGAATCAAGATCACGTGAAGTGTTAATACCACTTTACAATGCCTTGGTAAGGCCACACTTGGAATACTGCATCCAGTTTTGGTCACCGCGATCTAAAAAAGATGTTGAGACTCTAGAAAGAGTACAGAGAAGAGCAACAAAGATGATTAGGGGACTGGAGGCTAAAACGTATAAGGAACGGTTGCTGGAATTGGGTATGTCTAGTTTAATGAAGAGACGGATGAGGGGGGACATGATAGCAGTCTTCCAATATCTCAGGGGCTACCATAAAGAAGAGGGAGTGAAGCTATTCTCCAAAGCGCCTGAAGGCAGGACAAGAAGCAACAGATGGAAACTAATCAAGGAGAGAATCAACCTAGAACTAAGGAGAAATTTCCTGACAGTTGGAACAATTAACAATTTTCCTCCAGCCATTGTGGGTGCTCCAATTCTGGAGCTTTTTAAGAAGAGATTAGACAACCATTTGTCTGAAATGTTATAGAGTTTTCTGCTTAAGCAGGGGTTTGGACTAGAAGTCCTCCAAAGTCCCTTCAAACTCTGTTATTCTGTTTCTAAAAAAATCTTAAAACATTTTTGTTCAGCCTAAAAATTGATTAAAATAGAAGAGCTCCAATGACATATTTATATTAAGAAATTTAAAGAAGCCACATTCCGGATTTCAACTCCCTATGAGACAGAGGGGGGGAGGGGAAGAGAGAGGGAGGGAGGGAGAATGAGAGTTATTGTATGCTGTCTAATCATTTCAGATAGGCTTCCAAATACATTCAGAAATATCTTGTCATTTCTAGTTGCTTAAGACTGTTTCTTAAAATCTAAAATCAGATTTAATATACACATTTTTTTAAAGAAACCTACACAGGAGAAACTACCTGCCAAAAACTATTGCCACAGTTACAGTGTTACATTGCCAATATTAGCTATTACAATTATGTAATAACATTCTTACCTATACTTGGAGGACTGCCATAATTTATTGGTGACTCTGGAGGCCTCCCACAATGCAATGCAGCAAGAGCAGACCCCTTCCACACAACATGTTTGCAACCTATTTAAATATAAAAAACAAATGTAAGCATATAAACATAGAATGAAAAAGCTGATCAAGCCATTTTTAAAAAAAAAACGTATGAGTATGAAAATAAACACGCCTCGTTTCTGACAGAAGGTCGAGGATTATCACAAACTTGAGGACCCTGTGAAACTCCTTAAAGAACGAGATCTTCTCCAGGTTCAGCTACCGTATAAACGTCCTCTACTAGTCCACGGTTCACAGATATCATAAAATGGACAATTATTTGGTTTTTTATAACCAATAAGGTTTTATTCTCACTTTTGAAAGTGAAAAAATATTTTGAAAGTGAGAGGTGCATTTGGCACATAGGACATTGGTTTTACACCCTACACAGAAAGAACAATTTAAAACATCGTATCTTGAAACAAACTATACGCTAAATTTAAATCACCCTCTCTCAGTCCAACCCACCTCACAAGGTTGTTGTTGTTGTTAAAATAGGAGGAGGGAGGTGTGTTGAATATGTTCACTGCCTTGAATTATTTGTAAAAATAATAAAGTCGGGATACATATACAATAAATAAATAATTTGCTAAAAACCATTATTTTAACAGTCCATAAATCATAACATTGTTTTCATTTTAACCATTACAGAAGTAATATCTAATACAGAATAACATTAACTGGAATATTTGTATCATTAAAAGAATGTGCATAATCTTTATAAAATAATGCAGATACATTAGCAGTCCCAATTCTTTATTACACAACAACGACTGGAGTTAAGGCACAAAGAATTACTAGTAATCTAATGTATTCATGGAAACGCATGAATTTTAACTATGAAGTTCCTAGTTTCTGCTACACATTCCAAGTAATTACACTATACTAATGACAGTCCTACATAATAAAAGGGTGCTTGCTTTTCTCTGTAATATTTCAGAAATTGTTTTCTTGAAAATTAAACTCACTGTTCAAGATTCAGTTTACATCCTTTTGACAATGTGCACAAGGAATACTTATTTACGTGTAAGCTATAAAGGTGAATAAATTCATATAAGACTTCTCACATAGTATAATATTCTAATAGTTACTATAATAAGTGAAATTTCTCTTATGTGAAGACATATAGGTAAAAAATCAGACCCAATGTGAATAAGCAGAATTTTACTCTAACTAAATTGAAGGTTACTTCCTTTGACTCAGGAGCCCATTTGAGATTAGATTTTTGCCCTCTGTAATCTAGAATGGGAAAACAACACTGATCTATTTTTTTTTAAAAAAAACTTTTCTCTGAAAAAGTAAAGTATAAAATTGTGGGGTTTTTTTAGCAGAATGAAGTTGTATCTGTTGCCTAAACTTCCTTCTCTACAGATAAACTGTATTAAATTTCAGACAGGCAGAGATTTTTTTAAGGGAATCTTTATGGCTGAACAAGGTCTGTGAATCCTGGTTTCTGGGTGCATAACATTTGTAAAAAGTTTATATATTATGAATGTACCCTTTGAATAAAAACATAATTACAAAGGAACCAGGATTTAGAGTCATTTTCATTTAAGTTCTAAAATATTATTAATTAAAGATATATATTAGTTGTATGCATTTTAGATAGAATTAGACAATATCTGTTGGCATATCTACCTCTTCTATAGAAACATATCTTCCTAAATTTCAGTTAAGAAGAAAGGGAGGTAGATGATTATACTAAGGGAATTACTAACTTGAGGTAGTAAAAATACATATAAACGACTCAGTAGCAATGAAAACGGCAGGTATTATAGAAGTGCTCCTCTACAAAATGAATTTATTTCAATGGATCTATTTCAGTTGTACAATTTCCTACATAAGTGAAAGTGTAACTACTTTAGACTTTACATCCAGACTAAAATTCTGTGAATTGCTATGATAGATGTTGTCCACTCATTCAAGGCATTGCAGCAAGTCAAGGAGTTAAAGTAAAAAGAAATGTGCATTGTGATGTCACAATACATGTACCAACCTCTTATATATATGTTATGTTGCAATATAATAACAAAACTTTGTATCATTAATACTGGAATGTCTTTCTTTCTTGTGGGTGTCAATGCTTTCATGAGTGGTTTAAATCCAATGCCCCCTTTTTATTTTAAAACTATTTCTTGGTACAAAACCCCAAGTGCAAAACGTTCCCCTAAATGCAAGTTTTAGAAATCAAGAGAAGATTTTAATTATATTTTAGCTGTATTCAGAAAATGTAGCTCTGAATTTGGTTCTGTAAAAGCAGGGCTTTTTTTCTCATAGAACAGCCAGAACGGAGTTCCGGCACCTTTTTTGGATGGAACCTTGTAGGGTAGGCAAGGCGGATTGTATGAAGTGTGTGAGTTCCAACACCTTTTTTTTTTTTTTTAGGAAAAAAGCACTGTGTAAAAGTATTTTTTTCTCTCATTCCCTTTTAGCGTCACACCAGTTATATACATTGAGCAATATTTGGTGTGATATTCTTTTAACAAATGGCTTCCCTGAGTGAATAATTATCTAAAAAATAAAAATTAAAAAATGTGTGCACTTATGCATGTCTCTTTTCCCAACAGCATTTTAGTTCTAAGGTTAACGTATTTTGAATCCAAGAAAATGCAATACTTCTCTCCAGATAAAAAATATTCATTATTATTTTAATTGTCACATGGAAATGTAATTATCCAAGTGCATCGGATATCTAATGAAGTCAGTTTACATTATAATCAGAGACTCTCTGCTTCAGAAATGTAATGCCTTTTTTTAAGGGCTTTTCTCTCCCAAGAATTTGGCTGTGTTAAGCTCTCTCACATCGCAAAACTGAAGCAAAGGGGAATACCTAACAGATTTTTACATTTTTTAAATTTCTTTTGTAGCACAAGTATTTTTCCTTACATTTATCATTGAATTGTATAACAAATGACCCAATTTGATCAAACCAAATCTGAACAAATAATAAGAGGAAAATAAGCTTCAGTAAAGTTCATTCAAGATAACTACTTCTTTAAAACATCGAGAAACGTTTAATTAAGAATTGGACGATATGCTTTTGCAACATTTTGGCTCAGTTTTTACTCAAGCCCATGCAAACATTACCATAAATTCATGTGCGGATAAGTCACATGATATTCAGCATATAAAAAAGCTTCTTTTTATAATGCTGCGCACAATAAATTAATGCAAAGAATTTGTACATTTAAAAAACAAAATCTTGAGCATATGACCCATGACAATTGGGATTAGCACTATCACATGAAGAAGAGATGGTAAAAAAGCAAGCAGGCCTGGCAGCTGCAAATTTAAATTCCTGTACACAGAGCATGGAGAAAGAGTTATTCCAACTGTTGGGGTAAAAAGCACAAGAACTGGAAAGCCAACAGATTCAACTACAAGAAAAATGGAAAATCAAGATTTGTCTGCTATCAAAACACTGGAGAAGAGGGGACCTATTTTCTTTGGTATTTTCTATATTTTTTTCCACAAAAATCAAGTTTAGGAAAATAGTACTTTCTATTAAGTGATACATAAATATATAACATGTTTATATAGTACATGACCAAAATGATATAACATGAAGATTTTCATATAAGAATTTTAACATCCCATACATGTTGTCAAACATTTTGGTAAAACCTCTCAATGCAAGGGCAATATTACTGACTATTCACAAGGGAAAGAAGAACCCATTCTTTCTTTGTTCATAGGCTTCTGTTCCCAAACACAACAAAGCCTCAAAGCACAGGAGTGTGGAAGATATCTGAAGATGCATCTGTATCTTTAAAATACTCCATATACTTTCTGTTGCCACATTGTTTTGTTTTTTCCAAATTCCCCTCCTTGCAGGATTTTTTCCCCCACTGACTCAAGGTTTAAAGCAATCTACATCTTTACTTTAAAATACTGCCTCTTTCATGTCTAAAAGACACTTGGATAACCAATACTGAATATGCCAACTGACCCCCATAGGAGAAATTTGGTTTAACAACAATGTTCAAAAACATTGGAATCCCCATGATGCTTAAAATTGCAAATCGTTTCAGAAACCTTAAGCAGAACCTGGAGTGATCCCAACAAAGTAGCAAATTCACTTTTTCCAAAGACAAAAGTAAAGACAAGAAACCTGATAGGACTGTAAGTAGGAGCATGATGCAGACAGCAGTAGCTGATATATACCGAAAAATATGCTGGATAGAAATACTTGGGCCCAACAAACACTGAACAAAGACTGAAAATCAGGCTTGTCAGATGCTATATTTTTTTCTATCCTGCTCTATGGAGTAGAGAGTTGGTCTCTGACAGAAGGCCACCTGAAGAGACTAGAAGCATTTGAAATGTGGATTTACAGGTGGCTGTTACGTATAAGCTGGGTTGACAAGATCAGAAATGAGGAGGTGATAAGCCGCCTGGGAAACCCAAGGGAAATCATCAAAACAATTAAAAAACGAAAATTAGAATATTTCGGACATGTGATGCGACACCCAGAAAAATACGCGTATGAGGTAAATTAGGAGGTCCCTTTCTAACTTCCGTTTGCTCCAGGTCCGTCTTCTTCTTGTAGCACCGAAGTTTTAGATTCCCTGACCAAACCTGTTTTGAGTCGTCGTGAAAAAGGTGCGGCTGCTGATAAAAACAGGATTGCCAACATGATCGCCAACGTCCGATAACGGATATGGCACAAGAAGAAGAAGAAGAACAAACACTACTAGCACACTGATGACTTTGCATGGAATGCACTACTCTGAAAAGGCTCCACTTCCCACAGGCCAGAATACTGACTGACTTTCCAACCAGAGCCAAGTTTTATACCTCTCTACTGAATTTCCTGGCATTATTCCAGCACCAAAAGAAAGAGCTCTGGTACAGGGTACAGCTTACTGGTTAATGCTGGTAACGAAAATCAAGCATAGGATGAAAAATAATAATTGACCATAGACTTTAAAGTATCATTGGTGCACATCTGCGTATCTAAGCAGTTATACCAGAACATCCATTTATCTACCTTGAAGAAAAAATAAATAAAACTCTCTGATT